TACATATTATTTAATTAAATTACATAATTGCAATTATTGGTGCAAGTGGAACTAACAAATGGAGAACAAACCCAACTGTCCTTGAGTCAGCTACAGCTCAGCTGGTGAGAAAAGCCGATCATCCTGGGTGTTCAGGCACTGATTTCAAGGTGTCCACCACAGAACAGATAGTACTGGTCAAGTCAGTGCATTGTGTTACTGGGAGTCAATTAAAAGGGCTTCTGGCAAACATGTGTTTCCCTAGCTTTACTGTAAGATCCAAGGACTGTGTCAGACTTCTGAATACCACTTAGCATCAGCAACAAACGGTTGAGCACAAAGTAAGCATAAATAGCTACTTGTTTCATTAAGTGTGAACATGTTACTGCCTTTGCATGCCAGTCAGCTTTGTGTCAGTAACCACAGACAAATGTTTTTAGATTTTTAAATGCATTTTTAAGCACCAGTGGTATACTTGGTATTGGTCCTTTTAGGGAACTAGCATTGAAACTGATAAACTATCCCAAGCTTCAAGGACACAGGACAAACTCATACACCCTTTTGCTGTCTGCATTAATGTGTAGTATAATTCTAGTAACAGCTGCAGGAAGGGATTCAGTATTAATATCTGAAGAATCTATTAGCTTTATGACCGTGTCATTTTTATTTTCTTTCTAATTCTTTTTATCATATACTGCATAGACTCCAGGTGAAGGATGGCCAGAGGACTTTCTGCCTCTGTAAAGACTGCTGTCAAAGGCTTCTGTCATTCAACAATCAGCCGAGAAGGCTCCCCATTGTTGGAAAAAGCAAATGTACCAAAATTCACGAAGATCCTTGAAAGGCATAAAATGAATACTTTCAAATGAGTATTTTCTTTCAATAAGAAAATGCTAGTTTAACTCATTTCAGCTCTGTTAGCTCCTTTTCTTCAGGGTGTCATTAGAGGACAGGTACCTGGCCTCATTGTACTTATTTTGAACTTTAAAATGTCTGACCAGCCTTGACAAGCAGTTAGATGTCTGGCATTTTCTGTCAATCAAAACTCCACCTATTTGTAATCAAACTAAACCCACTGTTGTCCACTTTTAAGTACTTCCCATATTAATTAATATTGTAATATCTCTCTTAGATTTCTACTTTATATACTCTCCCCAGATAATTTTCTCAGCCCAAATTGCAGATTATTTATTGTAGCACAACATACTAATTATATATATTTATAGCATCTCCTTTTAGCAGAATGGAAGTGCTTGACATCTTGAAAAAGACAATTACTTGTTTATCTGTTCCTGCCACAAGTGTTGGTGCCATTCTAGTTTTATAAGTAAGATAAAATTGAGGCAGTAAAGTTAAAAAGCATTTTCTGGATTCTCTATAAATGTTATAAGTCAGTACACATTCAATAGCTAATCTGTTTTTCATTTCCTTTTCTCTCATGATTTGTTTTTGCCCTTTTGTCTTTCTCATTAACACCTCTATTAAGGGCTGGGTAGGAGGAAGGGAAGGAGATAAAATTCAAATGAGGTCATTTGGCCAGTCATTCACTGATTAACACAAAGTCCTAAGAGGCCAGTTTTGTGAACTGGATTTGCGCCGAAGTCCAGTTTACTCTGGACAGATGCAGTTTCACTCCAAGGCTACAGACCACAACCCTATCTGCTGACAGACGTTTTACACCCGGGGCCCATGGTCACAAGGGAGAACAAGGTCAGTGAGTAGAGATGACTCAGGAAAACAGTGCCTCACTTCAAGAAAAACAAGTGGATGTATAAAAGATGCAGAGATTCAGCTAAGAGATGCAGAGCTTTTCACTTATTAGCTTCTGGGACTAAAGGTCTGTAAGGAAATAAGTTAAAAGGATGATTATTTGTTAATCCTTCTCCCCCCTCCACCCTCTACAGTGTTATTTAAACCCAAATCAGTTGTAGGCTTTTGTAGAGCCAACAGGCTAATAAAGGTCATTAGTCTTTTCTAATGGCCGAAAAACATTAAAAATAGTATTTCATGATACATGAAAGATAAAAAATTCACAAAAAATCTTATTGAAGCAGCCACCTGGTTTGTTTATATATTGTCTGTGGCTGCTTTTGGGCTACACAGGAGAGTCGAGTGGTTGCAGTTGACACTGTGTGGCCTAGAGATGAAAATATTTGCTATCTGGCCCTTTGCAAAAAGTTTGCTTCCCCTTGCTTTTTCTTCTTCTGTACAAACATTTCTGGAATCCTTGCCACTTTAGGATTCATGTGCTTTCTTCATTACCTTTCATTTGTGCAGATTATTTTGTTGCTCTTGAAATCATAAATCAGGGGTGCTACCTCCATAAAAATGTTTTTCTCTCTATTTTTATAAAGAACTATGTGATTCTCAGATTTTTTTAGAAGGTGATAAAAATAAATGATACCTATCTCTTCCAGATGGTTAATATAGTTTGATGTGTGTGCACAGAGACTGAAAATACTACTACTAGATTTTTTTTCATACTTTCTTGAATGCTAAAAGTGAATTTTTCTTTTGACTTATAATTGAAATGCTATTCAGTGAAAGAGGAATCAAGTCCATTTATACCAAATTAAGAATAAGTTCAAAATACTGTCCTATCCAGAAATAAAGTCTTGGGCAAGTGAATTCCCTTTTTAGAGAATATGTAGAATGTTTTAAATAAATTATTCTGGGTATGGTCTTGTAGCCCTGAGCAGATGTTATTAGCAAGCCACCTGTCTTGGAGTTGAGAGTGTATTGCCCAAGGAGGTGACCATGTTAAAACACCAGGAAGTTTATTGCTGGCATCCCTGCAGGAGTCGGGTGGAGAGCACCTAAACCCAGAGGGTCTCAGAAAATGGGGTTTCTAAGCCTGTACCTTGGGATGCCACAACCCATCCATGCTGCTCATCACTGTCTGTGGGGATGGGTGGGAGGAAGGAAGACTGGTTCTCTTCCTTTCAGTTTTCTCAGAATCACAGCTAAACACCCATACTTCTGATGGAAGGAATTTCTCTGAGGGGAGATCCCAGCAAACAGCAGTACAGAGGTCAGGAGAGTTAGTCAAGAATGGAAAGCAGACAGTGAAGGGTGTCTCATCAAGCACATGCCCACTGTAAGTGGCTTGGGCATACTCCCACCAGGAAACTCTAGGAAAAGGTTTTCTACGGGCCTCTGAGATATCCTACCAGAAGGTCAGGTAGCTTCCAGAATGCTCATTCTCCTGTGCTTTCATCCTGCCTGACTGGTGCAGACAGCCTTCCCAGATTTCAGAAAAAGCAGCACAGATAGTGGCAGTTAGGAGTTGGCATTGAGACAGTAAGGCCCCAGGGGGGTATGGATTGGGCACTAATAGCACCTGCTACATCCATATCCTGCCAGCCCCACAGGTAGCCTTTTTCCAGAACACACAGGTACTTCTAGGAAGACAGGAAAGGTGGGAATGGATGCAGGCAGGAGCCAGCCTGCTTTGCGTGCTTTTTTCTCCTATCCTCTGTCCCTTAGCTCTATTGTAGCAGGTTGGCTAAGGGATTTAGACTTGGAAAGACAAGATGTTGTGCTCTCTGCATTGCTATTGGACATAGAGTATAAGGTGGGGCATGGTGACTGGGACTGAGGAGCCCTCAGGCCAACCAATGCATATTCTTAGCAAATGAACAACTTCCTTTAGATGAACAACTTCCTTTAGATGACATGTTCCTCGTCTATAAAATCAGAGTTAATTGGTTCTCTAACATCCCTTTCTCAATAAGCAACACATATACAACCCTTAGAACAGGAGAAAAACAACTCTGAGCTATCGGGGACTGCTACTTCACCTTCCACCTCCCAGAAGATAGATTCCTGCTCCCATTGGAACCATTGAAGCTCTCTGTTTATCAGTATGGATGTCACCAGCCTCTTAGTGAGGTGTCAACACACATAATCATGCCTGGACCTTTTGTTCATATTCTCCTCCCTCACTGAACATTCTGGAAGCTGTGAGGCACTCTGGCCTGGGTGTTTCTGTGTTCCTGGGATAAAGAGAGGGCTGGTGTCAGAAGGAAGGAGGCATTGTATTGAAGTAAATAAAATAGTTTAAGTCTGCCTCTTATTCCTTCAGCAAATTAAATTACAATCGAACCCATAACTTACCAATATACACATCTCCAGATATCGTATAAATGAAGCTTGTCCACCCTGGAAAGGGACCAAGAACATTAAAATGTTAGTGTCTATAATGCCAAAAGGAATGTGTGCACGCACACACATACACACACACACACAAATATAAATTGTATACATATAACAAATGCAGAAGAAAAAATTTGGAGATAAAATCCTTTATTTTCTTTTAAATACGTATTTTAAGATTCAAGTTCTGTGAGTTGTTTAAAACATACATTCATAATCCTCTCTTTCTTTCCCTTTCCCACTTCCTTCTCCTTCCCCTTCTCTCTCTTCTCTCCCCTCCCCTCCCTCTCCCTCTCCCCCCTCCCTCTCCTCCTCCCTCTCCTTGTCCCCCTCCCCCTCCCTCTCCCTCTCCCCCTCCCCCTCCCTCTCCCTCTCCCTCTCCCTCTCCCTCTCCCTCTGACACAAAGAACTTCCAGGGATACTCCTGAACCTAAATGATTTAGCTCCAATGTTTAAGAACTACCTAAAGCAGACAGTGGACAATGCCCTTGGCATATCTATATGCCTAAAGTTATATTAACCAACAAATTGTTTCAAATTCTTTTAGTTCTAACATCATGCTATTAACTGCAACACTCCAATCTGGCTTTATCTTTAGTTTGTTATGCCTGCAGGTAGTCTGAAGTGTGAATAATGCTACAAGTATGCTTTTTGTACTTAGCTGAATTCTAGTTTCCAGTGGACTCATTCTTTTTATCTGTTTTAAAATAGAGCATGCATCAATTCCAGGGATGCAAAATCTTTGGGGGGATTAATGAGCTTCAGATGGTCTGTGAACTCCCTGGAACTGTCCACATGAGTTTTCAAGAGAAAGGGTACATAGCATTTATCAGATTCCCACTATGACCCATGGAGTCAAGAGCTCAGAACCAGCAAGAGTCTATATCATTTGCATTCTCAGCACCAGTCCCCTCCCACCAATTTGCATGACTATTTATGTATTGTACCCATGGCTCAGAAGAGATGCTAGGTTTCCACGAGAAATATCAACCTAGAAATGGCAAGCTCAAAACAGAATGAGGATATCACTGCATGCGCCTTCACTGGAAAAGACCTGGAAAGTGAATGCAGGGTGGAGTTCATGGCTAGAAGGCAGGCCCCAGAAGAGTCTGGATTAACAACATGGTGACAGAGTAAATGAAAGCAGGCACAGAAAGAGAAAGGAGGACAAAATATACTGTAAGGATGTGTTTGTGATGGTGGAGGGTGAGTAGAAGCACATGAGTGGCACAAAAGGACAGTTATAATGATAAAATTTGACATAAACCGAGACTCATGAAGAAAATCTGAAGGCTAACCAAACAAACACACTTGGGTGATGACAGAGTTTTTGCTTTCCTATTCCACAATTTTTGCTGAGATTTTACTAGAATAAATTTAAACCCTCCAGAAGTAATGTTATTTATTCATAGTGCACTCACTCTTTTCCTTCCTTATTTAGTCTTTCAAGCTCAGTTTACCATCACTTACTGAACCTTTATATGGACATGCATTGTGGGGGGGAGATAGGAATAAGGCCCAGAAAGGGATGTTCACGCCATACAACTTTGGGGAGGGAGGGTCAAGGTAGATGCTGAGCACACATGCTAACAATTTATAGCCTGATTGTTCAAGTCTTGTCTGGATGGGCTGACTCTGCTAGCACACTTGTTTCTCTGGGTTCTAATGGATGCTCAGCTTTCCCAGGCCTATTTAGCCTGACTTAGAGTTATACTCTACAACAAAATCCCTTTCTTCTTGGAATTTTCTTTTTCTTTTATCTTTTTTTTTTTTTTTTGCAGTACTGGGGTTTGAACTCAGGGCCTACTCCACCAGCCCTTTTTTGTGATGGATTTTTTTCCAGATAGGGTATCACAAACGATTTGCCCAGGCTGGCTTCAAACTGCGATCCTCCTGATCTCTGCTTCCTGAGTGGCTAGGATTAAAGATGTGAGCCACCAGTGCCTGGCTTGAATTTTCTTTTTCAAAGTGCTTATAAGTACTTTTTTTCGGCTTATAAAAAAGTAACTAAGGGTACAAAAGCATAGAACATCTAAACTGTAAATCTTTCTGCAATTCTTATACCTTCCCTTATATGAGTATCGTTAGTAATTTGATTTTTGTACTTTCAGGGTGTTTTCCTTTACACACCATACAAAATTTACTTAAAAGCTAAAACAAACCCCATGTTCTGTTTTGAATACCTTTCCATATCAAGTCATAGAACAGTAATTCCTCCTTGGGAAGACTGCACATTGTAAGGATGTATTATAATTCATATAACCCATCCCCTCTTCAAGGGTTCAAGGTATTAAAAATTATTTCCACATTTTTTTGAAAACCTCAAAGCTCTCAACTGCTTGACTGATTTTTATTTTGAATCATTTTAATTATTCTAATCTTTTTTCTCCTCTACCTCCTTTGGTTCCTACTTTTTTCTCTAAGCAGATATCTAGCTGACACATAATTGCTTAGGTCTGTGTTCTTTGCTTTTTAAATCTTTTTTACAGGACCCAGAAGGGCAAAGCATTTGCTTACAGGAACACCATGCCAGTTTCTTAAGTGCATTCACCTATTTTTACTCCTTGTTAGTCTATTAAAACACAGAGTCTGTCTTTGCCTGGTATAACATAATTTGTGTTGCTAGTTGGAAATCATAGCGTTTTAGAAGTAATGGAATAGGAACAGTGGAGCAATTTCCTTTCTATCTTCCTTAGAATAATTCCCACTTGTACTTGCTTCTCTTAAATCTGGTTTAATTTCCATTAAGCATTGTTTCTTAAGGCTACCAAAAAAGAAATAAATGCAAATTGTGTGGATGCATACTATATGTTTATGAACATACACATTTTTTAAAAAAATTACTTCTCTGCTAAAAGTAGGATTGCATTAGTCACAGGCTCCCCTGTGAGACTTTCAGTCCTCTTTCTTCTCTCAACTCACCTCCCACTATTATGTCCTGTACCCGGAAATGATGCCATCCTCAAATTTTTATTGGTCTGTCAAAGGTCACATACCCTATATTTTCCTTTCTTCTACAAATATAATATGATTGCCAAGCTACTGTCTCTGAGCTTCTGGGAAGCTCTCCTCTGCCCTTAGGCAGTAACTAATACAATGAGTTAGGGTGATTATATTTTTTCTGCCCCCTCCCACAGGATGGTTGAGTCAGCAACACATAGAAGTAAGATCTTCTTTACTCAAACATAAAAAATGCACAATGCTTCTTTTAAATAAGTAAGTCATTTTATGGGGCATTTGCTCTCATTTCCAGGGAGGTTCCTAATTCTGGCAAACATCCCTAGTGCGAACTTTCTTCATCCTACATTCCTTAGCTTAATCTAGATAGTTGTCCTCCTATCTCAGTTTTAGAGTGTTTTATTCCACTGAATTTTCAACTACCCCTTATGCATGTATGTGGAGAGAAAGTAGTCGAAAAACATGACCTGATGACACATGGAATCCACAGCAGAGATCAGCTTTGAAAAGGAAAGGAGACAAGGCAATAGGATTAAGAAAAGAATGCACCTTCCTCCAAATCTGGGTCACCCTGGTTGTGAGACCAAAAAGTAACCCTGTTTCCTAACAGCCTGGCCCAGAAGTCCCTGCATTCAGTTTCTTGACCTAACACCTGGCCTCCTGGGATAGGAGTCACACATGCCTGATCCTCTCTTCCTCAGTACATCAAATTATTTGTCAATTTTTATTTTGAAATAATTTCAGATCAGGGAAAGTTACAAAAATACTACTGAGAATTACTGCACAACATTCACCCAGATGCCTTGAAAGCCAACTATCATGCATGCTTTCTCATTCTGCTATAAATAAGTCATTCTTCTTCTTTCTGAAATATTTCAGGGTAACTTGAAGATGTGATACCTCTTACCCTGAAATAATTTTATATATGTATTTCCTAAAAATGAGGATATTTTCCTACAAAACCATAGCACTCTTGTAAAATAAAATGAATTGCTCTTGTAAAATACAATAAAATAAACTTTTAAAATAAAATGAAGAAGACATGGCTTCTTTTCTTTTTTTCCCCTTGGAGGTAAACGTAGAAGCAAAAATATATTGACAATTTTAAGAGGGTACATTAGTTTTCTGTTGCCGCCACAACAAATCACAATCACATTATTCTGCTTGTGCTGTCACAACTCCTTGTCTCCCTCACTCCCATCTCCCTCTTTTGTATATACAGACTCTTATGATGACATAGTGCCCACTTCAATCATCCAGGCTAATCCCTGGGTTTAGTCAGCTTTCCATTACTGTAAGAAAATACCTGAGATAAAAAGGAGAAAGTTTATTTTGGCTTATGGTTTTAAAGGTGTCAGTTCATAGCTGGTTGGTCATGTCACTTTTGGGCCTGTGGCGAGGCACTACATCATGGCAAAAGTGCACAGTAAAGGAGGCCACTCACCTCACCACAGCTGGAATGCAAAAAAAGAGAAAAAAAGGGACCAGGATCCCAATATCTCCTTTAAGGGCACATTCCCAGCAGCCTAAATTCCTTTCACTAGGCCCCTATCTCCTAGAGTTTCCACCACCTCCCAATAGTACTACAGGATGGAGACTAGGCCTTCAACACACGGACCTTTGGGATATTCAAGATCCAAACCATAGCACTCTCCATCTTGAGAGCCTTAACTTAGTCTCATCTGCAAAGTCCCTTTTGCCATGGAATACACAGGCAGGTTCTGGGAATTAGGACACACATATCTTTTGAGGGGCAATATCCTGTCTATCACAGAAGGGTACACTGTATGTTGTCTAAAGAAATTTTGTTATTGATCTACATATACTATAAAGAAAAGTTATAAGGTAAGGGAATCAAAAAGCTCACAAAATCAACTTTCCACGCCATAGTAGTTCTTCATTTTAGATATTCCAAATCGTGTTTTTAAAGCACCCAGAAACAGAGGTTCTATGCAAGAATTTGGCTATGAAGGGCCATATTTTGATACAGCCAGTCAGAAGACAAAGAGGACATGAGGACCAGAAGGCATAGGTTTCATGGAAAGGATTAATATTTTCCTAGAAATTTAGATTTATGTCCTTCACAATGAATAATAACGGTGCTATCTGTACATCAACTTACCGCAAGAAAAATCAGATTGCCTTGCAATAGATGGCAAAATTCACTGCAACCCCCCCATTCTTATTTTAGCCAAGAGATAATATGAAAAACGTGTGGCCAATGTGAAAGGAATCTGGTACTGTCAGAAACTCAACAAATTGGATTCTTTGTAAGTGATGCACTGTCCAGCTCATTCCTGACACCAACTGTCTTCCAAATCACCAGTGCATGAAACATCTGTTTTCTGCAAGATTAGCACAACCCAACGGAAATGTGCCTAGCCTGAAGGAAAGAAAAAGATGGTAAAAATCGATTCTAATGCTATTTATGGGAAGGAATTCAGATAAAACCTAGTCTGATTCATGAAGAATATTTCCAGGCTCCCTTAACTGGATTTCCCTTGGGACATGGGCCTTTTCTTGGTATCAGGGGTGGAATGGTAGCAATATATGCTTCTATTTGTATCCAATTAGTCTGGTAATGATACAACCAAGTCAACATTAAATTAGACAGCAAAGCTTATGCCAAAAGTCAAACATAACCCAGACATCCATGTCAAATCTCTTTACCATGAGTAACAAAACCATCAAAATGTCATAAACAAATCATGCCCAGGACACAGCCAATGGTCGACACATTTCAAGGAGTATTTGATACAACAAAGCATCCACATAAAATGAATTTAGACAGTCCTTGGACTTTGTGATGGAATTTGACCTGGAAAAATAGTTTTAAAAAAAAGACAAGTGGTGTTGACCTTGATTTGAATGATTTCATAATATTTTATTCAGCATAACTTTACATCTTGTATGTCTGATTATAGGCAGCCAAGAATGTCAAATCTGCAAACAATGGTATTTTATACTTTAATTAATTGTTTGTCAGGCACTGAACAGGAAGGCCTCAAACTTTATCACCTAATTCAGTGGAAGCATGGGTGTGTGTGTGTGTGTGTGTGTTTATAAGAGAGAGAGGGAGGGAGACACTAAGAAAGAAAATTCACTCTAACTGCAAGTGATGTCTTAGAAAAGACAGGTTTTTTGCTTCATAGCTGGTGTCTGCTTATACAGACACACAATTCTAAAGATGTACTTCTAAGTTACTTACTTTTGTACCCTCCAAAAATGTTTTTGAAAACATATATAATGATAAAGTAAAGTACCAGTGTCTGTAAACAGACACATACACATTCTCTCATGAGGTAAAGTAAGGTACAGTAAACCTGTCTTATTTGCAGATTTATTACACTCAGTTTTAACCAAGTGTGACAATAAATAAATAAATAGGTGAAATTTCAAAAACAAAAAATTTAAATTCCCACACACCCATTCCACAGCTCAGTTGATTCAGGGATCTCAGTCAGTCCTGCATTATTGTCGGTTGTGTTTAAATCATGTGTGATCTGCTGAGCGTTTCTTTGCCCTTCATTTTGTGAAAATCTACTGCCCAAAACACAGTAAATGGTGCCCAAAACACAAGGTAAAAGTAAATGTGTTTGATTGAAGTGATAAAGTGAAAATCTGAGATGTGTTTAAAGACATCACGTCTATAGTACAAGTTGGGTGGTGTTATGGGAAAATTGAATCAAGCATCTGGAGTACAATGCTGAACTCCATGCATCCTGAACAAGTGCAGTTCTTCCTTATCAGTGGTCTCCTTGGAACCATAGACCAGCAGATGCCAAGGGTCTATTTTAATGGGTAAGAGCAGAGCAGAAATGAACGTGAACCACACATTTCCTGCTGGTGGGGCCATGAAGAAGCTACACTCTCAGACGCTGCAGATAGATGTGACCACCTCTTGGGATTGCAACCTGACAATGTCTTTGTGGGGGGGGGGTGTGCGTGTGCATGTGTGTGTGTGTGTGTGTGTGTGGTACTAGGGATTGTGAACCCCAGGCCTGGTGCTCTACCACTTGAACCACACTCCAGTTCTATTGTTTAAATTTAGTTTTCGAGGGAGGGCCTCACTACTAACTTTGTCTAGGCTGGCCTCAAACTCACAATCCTACCTGCACCTTCCTTGTAGCTGGGATTACAGTTGTACACCACCATGCCCAGCTACAATGTCCTTTAAACTTAAGCATACATATATATCTGCTGTATACCTGGAAACCTGCCCCATCAAAATGAATTCTCATTTGGGAAGACAGATGCTTAAGGCTGTTTGCTGCAGACCAGTTTACAGTAGCCAAGCACAAGGTACAAAGTGAATGCACATTGATATGAAATTCCTGATAAACCCATGACATAGAATGTCACAATAAGAAAGAGCCACGTGAGTAAATTGGGAAAGATTTCCATGTCAAAAAAAAAAAACCAAGATGCAAAGAAGTATTTATAATGATTACATTTTATAAAACAATGACAAAATAACCCTATGTATCTATGCATCTACAGGTGTATATATGTTAGAGTAGAAAAATAAATGTGGAGAAAAATATCAAAGATTTCATTCAAGAACAGATCTGGGCTGGATAGTAGATCTGGGATATATAAAGAGTAGCTGCTATGGGTGGAGAAAGGAGACAAGAGGGTTGGAAATAAGCAAACAGTAAATGTCCAAGCAAAAAGCACTGCACAGAACAGCTAAAGCACGTGCTTTTGCACTTATGTCATAAAACCACATTGTGCATTGGCATAGGTTTAAGTCAATTAATCTGAACTTCTTCTGTACTCAGAAACACCCAGGATGAAAAAATCAAGAACAAAATACTGGGTCCAAATTTGATGCCTAATGACCTTGGGTATAATCTTTTATTATTATTTTTGCAATGCTGAAGATTGAAGCTAGGGCCTCTACCACTGAACTACACCCCTAGCCCTAACCATTTTTTTAAATATTGACCTTAAGTAATTGAGAGTTTTCTAATCATTCTTAAGGTTAAAATGTCAACGTAAAAATTAGCCTTCCACAACCATACCCAAAACCAAGCAAAACCTGTATCATAATCAAGTATGCACTTTTTCTTAAGTAAGCAGGAACAATACAAGTTAACAGACCAGAAAGTCAGGAGACATGGGAATTTTACTTGCCCTGCCTCATCTGTTGAATCTTGCTATGACCTTGAGCAGGTAACTAATCTGTTATACTTTATTATCCATGCCTATAAATTGAGGGGTGTGGCTCAAAGGGCGGGGCTCCTACATTCTAAGAATTCTTCCTGACTTTCTTAACTTGAAAGGCCTCAGCAGCATTTGCTAATTGAAACACTAATCTTCATTTTGTGTTGAAAGAACTTTATGTGAAGTTTGGAGACACGCACATTGCTTAGAAAGTGGTCCCTTATTTTGTTGGGTTTTTTTTCCTGATGTGATGGCTATACCCTGGAATCCACCATACCTTTAGGAACAGGCTGGGAATGTTTTGCTCCTTGGTCCAATTTGAAGTCCAAATATAAGGTTGGTGTACGAGTGTAAACCTTGGACTGTAAAGAAAAAGGAAATCATTAGCATTTTTCTAAAAATAAGGTCCTTTACTTCAGCTGGGCCCTTCTGTAATAGGCCATGGATTGATTATATTTGCAGTTTCTCCTAGCTTTTTTGTTTTTTTGGTGGTACTGAGGTTTGAACTGAGGGCCTCAACTCTTGCTAGGAAGGCTCTTTACCACTTGAGCCACTCCACCAGCCTTGTTTTGTGATGGATTTTTACGAGATAGGGTTTTGTAAACTATTTGCCCCGCCTGGCTTTGAACCAAGGTCCTCCTGATCTCTGCCTCCTGAGTAGCTAGGATTACAGGCATGAGCCATGGGTGCCCAGCACACTCCTAGCTTTACAAAATGGCTGACAAGCTGATTTCAAGGTGACAGGTAGCTCCCTGCAGCCATTTCTTCAGTGCAGCCCAGGTTAATATCTAACTGGCCAATAGTTTCTCCAACTTTCTTACTCTTAGCTTACACTTGGCATGGTAGGTTATCTCATAGTCCATGCATCTTTCTTCCCCAGGACTCAATAAAATGATTTCCATTTTGAAATATAAAAAATGGTCTGTACATATTATTTTTCTCACTTGACCCTCTTGTTTAAAAAAACAAGTGATCTGTTATTGCTGGTTTGCAAAAGCCCTAACATCAAATGTTTAAAAAGGCAGACTTGTGCAGGGTTTTACATTGTAATCAGTGGCTTTGACTTCAATGGTTAAGCAGCATTTGTAATTCTATAATGCCATCCTGAATTCTGGCACAGATCAAAACCCAAGGGATTAACACTGTTGCTATAAACTTTATGTCTCATTGTTTAATGCAAAGCCCCAGTGGCTCTATTCTATTTTTTTAACTTAAAAATGCACATGAAATGAAAGGGGCATGTGACACCAAGCTTGGCAAGAATGTAACTAGACCTTTCCTATCCCACTGGTGGAACTGGACCTTGATGCAAACACTTGGGAGTTTGCTGATATGTAGTACAGATGATTATGCATAACCTTTGACCCATCGATCCAAGTCTTAAGTGTATACCCAGCAGAAGTGTTCATTTGAAGACATGTACAAGAATATTAATAGTGGCACTATTGATGACAGCCTAAAACTGGAAACATCCAAAATGTCTAAAGCAATAGAATGGACAAATGAATTGTGATGCAGTTAAACAGTACAATATTATATGGCAAGGAGAACAAGCAAACCCAAGTAAATGTTACAACTCAAAGGAGTCTCACAAGCGTAATATTGAGCAGTGAAGGCAGATTCCATTTTATAAAGTTCAGAACAAGGCAAAATTAACCCATGGTGTCAAAAGTTAGAAAAGTAGTTACCATGGGAAGGTGAATAACTGGAATGAGTTAATAAAGGGGCTTTGGGGGAACATTTTGTTGCTTGGTCTGCTGGTAGTTTCATAGGTGTGTTCACTTGGTGGAAATTCTCTGAGATATATACTTGACTTGCATTTTCTGCATTTATATTATATCTTCATTACCACATATTACAGTACAAAGAAGTTTCATTGTAATACTTACACACATGCATATGATACGCTTTGATCAAATTCATCCCCTGTCCCTCACCATCCTTCCCCTCTTAAAACAATGCCAACAGGTTTCATAGTTCTACGTTCATACATAGGTATAAAGCACTTCGACAGTATTCATCCCTTCACGTTCTCCTTTAACCCCATCCCCACCGATACCCAGCCCCAAACAGGGCCCATATTTTAATAGAAATGTTATATTAAAAACATACAATCATGAGCTAGTGACATGGTTCAAGTGGTAGAGCGCCGGCCTAGCAAGTGTAAGACCCTGAGTTCAAACCCCAGTACCACCACCAAAAAAAAAAATACCTTCATAATAGACAGAAACAGACAATCCAGAGCCCAGAATTACTATCCTTGATAAGAGAATAATTTTGCAGAGAATTATTATTGTAAGCTCCGTGAGGGCACAGAGTCTCTAAGGCCAATCCACAGCATCTGTCACATAGTAGATAAATACTTATTAAATGCTATTTCATAATGTAAAATCAAAGGTATTCATCAACACCTTTACCTATATGTAGCAAAATGTCTATGTTCAGGACAGGTGAATTTGGTATGGTCAAAGTGTGTATCTATACATTAACTTAGAATTATAAATAATGTATACTATTCAAGGACTTTTTCCTTTCCTACTAATGTCCCCTATGGAAGCTTTGGGCTTTAAGATGGCATGGCACAGAAAGTCAAGCTGCATTAATGCAGCTTCAAAGACTGGAAAAACAAATCCCCCTGTGCATACATAAGTGGAACCAGAAAGATCTGTGACATAAGTGCAACTCAAGGCCAAAGACTCACAATCAATCTGAAGAGCTTGAAGCATACATGAAATAAGGGCAGCACACGAGGGACACAGGCTGTGATTTTGTAGGATTATTAGGTGTGTAAGGCGCCATCTGGAAAGAGACTGGTTTCATCTATGAAGACTTCTAAGGTTACCTCTAAAAAGATCAAGGGCAAATTTTACATAGTATCAGATGACTCCTCTGCTTGGGCAATATTGAGCTCTTTAAGACAAAGGATCCCTGTTTGGCTTACACATCTTTCCAAACAACCTCTTCCTCAGTGGCTGATGCAGGAGCCCTGCCTACAGCAAAGAGATTAATCACAAGGGGGTGCGTGGCTTAATTTTTATTAGCATTCTCCCAGAACGTGAACATAAAAATCAATTTGAACTGGAAGCCAGGCCTATTTGACATTGATATTGCTTTTCCTGGTGACAAGCAAAGCACTTATCTTGTGGGTTTAGTTCACTCATCTGAAAATCTTATGGGGGAGACTTGCTGATGTTTCAGTCTACTTTTGGTTTGAAGTTCTGAGTCCAAAAATTAATATTGTCTATCACACTCCAATTTTTTGAAAATTCCATTGATTTCTCAGACTAGAACTATAGATAAGGGAGAATGTGGCTGGGGTGAGGAGGGCAACTAGAGCTGTGAGGAGTCAGTGGGGAACCACTGGCTAACTTGTTCTGTTCTTGTCTTCAACTCGTCATCAATCTTGCTCTCCTGATTGGCTCCTTTTCTTCTTTTTTTCCTGTCTCTAACTTCTCAACATAATTGATATTAACCAAAAAGTAGTAATTTACCTGTCTAAGACTACAACTGCATGGATACATGCACACACACACACACAGAGAACATTCTGTATTCAATTTATGAACTCATTTGAAAATTTTAAACAGAAACTAAAAAAGCCTGTCATTAGAGTGAGTAAAGGGGTAAAGGGAAAAATTTTAATTCACTTCAAGTTGTTTTTGACAACATCTATACCCTAAGAAGAATTCTGATTCTAGTATTCTTTTCTTATTGAAAGTTGAATCATCAAGGGTTTCAATAGAACACATCTTGAATAATCATTGGAAGCTGTTCCCATGAGTGTGTGTAGGTGTGTAGGTGCATGTATGCATACCTATATACAGATACAGTTTTGAAAAACAGCTAGGTCTTTTTTTTTAATTTTGATCTTCCACGGTAACTGCTAAAATAGCAAAAGTAGATTATGTACATTTAACTCTAAGATGATAATACTAGCTTGAATGTACTTTGAGCAAATCTGGATTTAGTTTTTCTATTATACACACTGCTGATTTTCAAGCATAAAGAAAAACCTCCATTAGGCACATTCTTTCCTGTTTTCTGTTTTTCTTATTTTTATGTACAGTATTAAACTACTGATGGGCCCTCAAAGCATAATGAGAATTTAACTAAATCATTCTTTTTGGCTATCAATGCATCTATTTCCACAGGATTAAAATAAATTGGTACATGACAAACTAAAATAAAACATTCCTCTATAAATATCTTTCAGCATGGACAGAACTAATGCACTTAAATTCCATCAATGAAATTGTTTTCTTTTTCCATTTCTCTGATTTGGTCCTTATTAATAATGGCTGGAGAGCTACTGAAATCCAAAGCTATTCTCCTTCTGCCTTCCCATTTCATAATTATTTGTTGGAAATATTTGTGAAACTTTCCCTTAAAAGCTTTAGCTTACATTTGAAAGCCTAATGATTTAAAATCTTATGGTTCAAATATTATGCAAAGAAGCTTCTAGAACGTAAGTAATATAACTCTTCATAACAGGTTAAGGGTAAATTTTCCTAGCCTACAAAAGGAGTGCTGCCCAATGCAGGGGAGCCTTGTCTCTCTTTTTCTATAAACATGTCAGAACTAAACCCTTAATGAGTCTCAGACACCACTCTAATAATGACCACAAAACAACCAAGACAAAAGAAGGTCTATAAAGCCATTTCCTTCCAAACCCCAACTACCTTCATCTTACGTCCTTCAAAGACTTCCCAGTTACCCTGGCTTTCGGTATGATACCCGTGTCAAGCTGGGTTCCTTCCTCTGCTTTTATTGATAAATGTGATCTTAATTAGGAGATGAAATTGCTTCCATATGGAAGCCATGTGGCTTAAAAACATCTTCCCAAGAAAAGAGAGTGTTACGTTGCTATATGTGAGTGTGGCAAAGGAAATATCTTTAATTTTGCTGCCCATTTATTCCTGAGTACCTCTGCTTTTTACCACCAACGTAGCCTTTCCTAAAAACAAGTGGCAGAAATTTAGCGTTGGGTGTCACAGCTGTAATAGATACTTTGACATTTCTTTGGGGGAACTATTTCAAAAACTATGATTTAGTGAGTTTTCAAAAAATGCACTCAAATTCTCAATCATCTGCTTACGCAAACATCTCTAAATAACCGTCCTAAGGAATGCCAATCCCCAAGATCTTATAAAACAAGGTAAATGGTGTTTCTGCCTGCTCCAAGACCTTTATTCTTCTGGTGGGCCATCTTTCTAATGTTCATGTTTTATGGGTTTTGTGTGTGTGCGTCATTGCTAACCTGTGATGAATATTATTACATGTAAATCTCTGACCACATTTCTGATTGTTTCCTTTACAGTGCAATTATGGGTCTAAAGGTCTAGACAGTGTAGCAAAAGCAAAT